AATCGTATAATATACAAATGAAATATGATAAAAAATAAAAAAATTATATTTTATCATGTAATTAAAATAAAAAAAGTTACTAACTATATCAAAATAATTAATTTAAACACTACAAAAGTTTTTTGTTTTTTTTTTTTTTAAATCCAAATTAGCATTGTCCTTGTTCGTTCAAATCTCCAAATCTTAGAGTCGGTCCATTCAAAGTTGTACCATAAATGATAAATACTACTAACTGCAAGTCAGAGCTATTTTTCTCAAATTTCAACGTTCCCTTATTGTATTTATTTATTTTTAAAATTTTATCGTAAGCGCTGACGCAAGTTTCGTACCCATCGCACAATTATGGGAGTTCTCTCCCTGAGGATGAAACATAGCTGCTGTAGTAACAGCCAAATCCCATCTATCTTCCAACCTCAGAGCTACGAAAAAAAGCAATAAACTCGATGACCAAGGTAAAAGATTGAAGCTTTCTCTCCGACAGAAACGTCTTTTTGATTTACATGGTGCTTCTTTCTGATCGTAAAGTTGTGAATGTTCGTATTTTTCATGGCGTTATTGTATGCCCAAGAGTTTTTGGCATGCCTAGAGCTTGAATCAGAGATATGGTTTTGTTGTTGTTTGTTGTGTAATGGGTATTGGGTTGTTGTGTAATGGGTATTGGTTTGGTTTGGTGGTTGTTGAAATAAGTTAGAAAAAACTTTAGCTGAATAAAGGAAAATCGATTTTGAGTGCCAACTAATCTAAAAGAAAATATATTTAGAGTAATTCTTTGTGAATATGGAAGAATCAGCTCTGATTTTTGTTGGGTGTATTATTTTAAAGGTTAAAGGCAGATTTTTTTTTTTTTCTTTCCATATAAAAGGTAAAAGAGATCTTTAATTGTTTTGAGGAAGAAAAATTTCTAAAAATATTACCAAATGGTTTTGTGTATTGATAGAGGAAGAAATGTAAATCCATCTTCTGTCTCTATGATCTTTGATGATGGGAAGTTTCATTTGAGGCTCAACTTTTTTTAGACGTTGCAGGCACAGAACTGTTGAAGGTATCTCTGTGGCTAATAAATAAGAAGGCAGAGGGTGGTGGATTAAGAGTAGGTGTGGAGACGCAAGAAGGACATGGCTTTTGAGGCATTGATTTGGTTTTGCAGGCCGGTGGCTAATGGGGTGTGGACTAGAGCAGTGGCTAATGCTTTTGGTGCATACACACCCTGTGCAACTGATTCTCTGGTCATCAGTGTATCTCACTTGGTGCTATTGGCTCTGTGCATCTATCGAATATGGCTGATCAAGAAGGATTTCAAAGTCCAACGGTTCTGTCTGAGGTCAAAGTACTATAATTATTTGTTGGCATTGTTGGCTGGTTATTCTACTGCTGAGCCACTATACAGATTGATAATGGGTATTTCAGTTCTGAATCTAGATGGACAGACTGGTCTTGCTCCATATGAGGTTGGTTTCAATCTTATGCTACGTATGTATTGGCTTGGAGCTTTTCTGTTTTAGTTTTAACTACTGCATATGTTGTTATGATTTTAAATGAGAAAATGATCAAACTTGATATCTATGAGCTCAAATTTCCATGTGAAATTGGATTACATATACAAACTCCTGTCAGATTTTAATTTCGGTTCTGTTGTGATAGAATCAACATGGATATGTGGTTGGAATAATTTCTCCTTTGATCAGAAATAATTTAGAGTATGGTGGTGAGAATGTATTCTTCTTTTCTGGCTAAATTTGATGGTAATAAGTAAATTGCTAGAGATGGATTGTTAGTTTCTCAGTGTTGTCACTGCCAATGTCTCTAAATAGCTTGCATTCCTGCTCATTCCAACTCAAGAAAATTGTTTGAAACAGCTTCATTTTATCTATTAGTAAAATTGTTGGTAAATCTGTAAAATGATTTCTTGAGCCGCCCCACCATAAAGGTTAAAACCAGCTCCAATAATCCCACACATATATGAAGTTTCTGAGATTCATTCTTTTTACTCAGATTGTATCCCTGATAATTGAAGCTCTTACATGGTGCTCTCTGCTGGTGATGACTGGAGTGGAAACTAAAGTCTACATCCGTGAATCTCGATGGTTTGTCAGATTTGCACTTGTTTATTCTTTGGTAGGGGATGCAGTGATGCTCAATCTCATTTTCACAGTGAAGGAGTTCTACAATAGGTTTGTTTTTTTCAGTTACCTAAATCTTTCTCTCTTGTTGGATTGAGATGATCTCTCTAGCTTTTGAGAGCATTTTTTTCCTCCTTTAAGGTCGTTGTGATCAATTATCATTCATATTGGATGATGCATAACAAATATTGATTATGTTTTTACAGCTCTGTTCTGTATCAGTATCTCAGTGAGGTCGTGGTTCAGGTTTGTCATCTTAAATTCCTCCATTGTAAAGGTTTTGGATTTTTCATTCTTGTTTTCTTTTTTGAAATTGCAGTATCTGAAAATGTTCTGTCTCTTGAAATGTCAAAGAAATGTCCAATCTGAATGTTACCTCCAAAATATGCCAATCTTCCTCCTTAACTGATATTAACACATTTGTGTGCTTAGATGAGTCATGGTAAACTATAGTTGGATTGACTTGAGTTGTTCAAGAAAAAGGGGGAAAAAAAAGGGGCTGGAATTATTTAGATTATGTGTTGTCTAGAGATACAATGATTATGCTGTCAATGCACACTTCAAGAAGATGGCAAGTTTTGTCTCACATGTTAAGTGTACTTTTAGGACAGAGATGGCTTTTCTCAGTCTGCATATGATAGTATTATCCAAATTCCAATGAGATAGTATTTCAATAGAGTTAGTATACATTTCTCCATTTCATTTTTAAAGATATTGCTATTGTTGATTCAGGGTTTGTTTGGGATGCTCTTGCTTGTATACATCCCTACTTTGGATCCTTATCCTAGTTACACACCAATGAGGGTTGAATCGGTTGATGATACTGAATATGAAGAACTTCCTGGAGGAGAGCAAATATGTCCTGAGCGGCATGTCAATATATTTTCCAGTGAGTATCTATTCCTTCATATGCGTTCTAATTTGCGGGTATTCAGAAATACTAAATCAGTTGCTTTTATAATTAACATATGTTGTGCTGGAAAAGAGTAGTAAAGGTTAAGCTAGCTTTGATCTTTCCAGCAGCCTTTCTCCACTTTTCTCTTTAAACCTGTTGCACAAACTGGTTAGGAGATAGGAGTTTATCCAATGGAAAAAAACTGTACTTTGATTTTTCTGATTCTCTATTGCTCCTTTTCTGGTTTGGCAGAAATATTCTTTTCATGGACGAGTCCCCTCATGAAGTTAGGGTATAAACGACCTATTACAGAGAAGGATGTCTGGAAGTTGGACACATGGGATAGGACAGAAACATTGAATGAAAAGTGCGTGCTAGTGTTTTCTTTTGTGTGGTTTTTCAGAATTTTACATGTGGCAAGGTTGAATTTTTTTTTTTCTTTTTTCTAACTTTGTAGGTTTCAGAAATGTTGGGCTAAAGAAATGCGAAGGCCTAAACCATGGCTTTTAAGAGCATTGAATAGTAGCCTTGGGGGAAGGTAGGTAAAAAGAGCAGCTGATTGTCTCTTTTGATATTTGGTTGTAACTTGTAAGGTTGAATTTAGTCTGTATCCCTTTTCTTAACAATAAATTAGTTAATTTGAAAATGGAAAGAAAATGGCAAATTGATTAAATAATGCAAATTCTAAAAGTAGGACAAACACAATCAATGCGGCTAATTGATTTCTCATGAGTAGTAAAGTCTCTTTGAATCTATATTTGGTTCAAACTTACTAATATGATTAGAACTTATAAAAATGACATGCTGTCATGCTTTCTTAGACCTTTCACTGGTGGGATATCATGCTTGTTTAATGCTCATGGTGTTATGTGTATGTGAAATAATCAAGTAAAGAATCCTTGTTTTTGGTCTGAACCAAAATTTGGTATGGAGAATACAAATCTGTATCTTTTGGGCACGCTGGAAATGCACACAAAAAGGATGAAATAATACTAGTGGCAAAAGTGTTGTTTGTTTAGAAATTTTTTCATTTTATATATGCTTATTTGATTCATTAGCTCTCTGCTTTTTGTAGGTTTTGGTGGGGAGGTTTCTGGAAGGTAACTGGCTCATTTTCTTTATGTTGCATTTGGATCTTTCTCTTTTCCAGATTATAGTGCAATATCCAACCAATAAATATACTTCTTAGGGCTGGTTGTTCCATTATAATGCTTCTTGATTTTTCAACTTGTAGATTGGCAATGATCTCTCCCAGTTTGTGGGGCCACTTATATTGAATCGCCTCTTACAGGTTGGTTATGTGTCTATGATTAACTGGACAAGTGATCTGCCTATTCTTTCTCCCAATTTTCCTTTTTCTATTTAAACTTGAAATTTTAAGCTCTTTATCCCTTCTTTTCACTTATGTTTGTTTGATGAACTATTTGCAGTCAATGCAACAAGGTGATCCATCTTGGATTGGTTACATCTATGCATTCTCAATTTTTGCTGGAGTGGTAAGAAATTAATTCTTCATTACATTTTGTGATTTATAATTATATGTTGTGCCTTTCAAGTTTGGTGCTACACTGTACCTTGTCAAATGTCATGTTATTAGAGATGGTCCCAGCTCTGATGTAACATGGGCTTAACTATGTTATTTGATACAGGCTCTTGGGGTGTTATGTGAAGCTCAGTATTTTCAGAATGTCATGCGTGTTGGTTTTCGGTTGAGATCTACCTTGGTAATTTTATAATTTTGATTACTGTTTTATTTTAGTTAGTCTTCATTGTCTTTTCCAATATCATAGCAAGCATTAGAACACTTTTCACCGCTCTTGTCCCAATATTCTATTTTTCTGAACAGGATGGTTTATTCTGTAGGTTGCTGCTGTATTCAGAAAATCTCTTAGGCTAACCCATGAAAGTCGTAAGAAATTCACATCTGGAAAAATAACCAACTTGATGACAACTGATGCTGAAGCACTGCAGGCATGATTTTTTTCTTATTTATGCATATAGAGTGGTCTTGATGGTTGATTCCCTTTTGGGATCAGCACTTTTTGTAAAATTTTTTCAGTAAATTTTCTTGTGTAGTGTTATGAGACTGGTTTTGACTAATGAACCAATTGGTAATTTTCTTTCCACAGCAAATATGCCAATCACTTCACACTCTGTGGTCAGCTCCCTTTCGTATTATTTTTGCAATGGTTCTCCTTTATCAGCAGCTAGGTGTTGCTTCACTTCTTGGTGCATTAATGCTAGTTCTTTTGTTCCCTGTACAGGTATATGGTTTTTCTCCCCCTTCTATTTCATTTACTATCTTTAAAATCATTGATTTGACAGTACCGCTATCACAGTGGTGATGTTGCTTTCTTTTATTTCTGTTGGGTTATCCTTTCTGTGGCTTTGGAATGCTTGTCCTTTATCATAGCGTGTTATATTTGTTAAATCTGTTTTGTGTTTTTTCATAAAGCAATTGCTGGGGGACAGCATTTTCATATATATCATCTCAGTGAAGTTTGACCTTCTGGCATGTTTAATTAGAGAATGTACTGTTTTTTTCAGTTGCCTTTTGACAACTAGATCTTCATAATGTTATGAAAGTAACATTGTTATATTCATTTCCTGTCTTGGATTGGCTTTTCCCTCTATATTTTGTTTTTCTTACCTTCATTTTTGTCCTCTTATGAGCAGACATTGGTTATAAGCAGAATGCAGAAACTGTCAAAGGAGGGCTTGCAACGTACTGACAAGAGAATTGGCCTCATGAATGAAATATTGGCTGCAATGGACACTGTAAAGTATGACATGTTTCAAAAAAAAATTTCTTAAGTACACTAGTACACTATTAGAGCATCTGAAACTACTTTGGTTCTATGTCAAAATGTTTCAGATGCTATGCTTGGGAAAGCAGCTTCCATTCTAAAGTTCATAGTGTTCGTAATGATGAATTATCATGGTTCCGCAAAGCATCACTACTTGGAGCGGTATATCCTGGCACCATACTACAAATTTTCTGTTTGTTTTTTACTAGATCTGGAGTCTTGATATAACCTTTTCCCAGGATCTCATGTGTTAATTAGGTTCTCTTTGCACTAATTTGTTTGAAGTTTTGAAGTGTTAGATAGCTATGAAGAAGAACAGAAGTCCTTTAATAGTTCTTTTGCTACCACTGTCCATCTACGACAGATTCTTTATTGTGTGGATAGGACCTGCTATCATTTTTATGCTAATATATTATTTTCCTACAATCTCTTAATAAACATAAAAGAATTTATATGAGTTGCAATCGTAAAAGCCAATGAGATGATTTACCAATAAAAAAGGGTTAAAATATAGAGTGAACTTTTTAGATAATCAGGAGAATCTGTTCATGTTTAACAAATTGGGCTTCTGACATGTAAATTTGATTTTATAATTTGCTCATTGATTGATAGTGGGTATTCCATCTCAACATAGGTATTTGGAATGGAATGATAAATAATAAAATTGTTTTTTTTTTCTACGTTTCTGATTCTTTCCTTGTTCTGCAGTGTAATGGATTTATACTAAACAGCATTCCAGTTGTGGTGACTGTGGTTTCATTTGCGATGTTCACTTTTCTTGGGGGTGATCTGACACCTGCAAGGGCATTCACATCTATTTCACTCTTTGCTGTGCTTCGTTTCCCCCTGTTCATGCTCCCTAATATTATCACACAGGTTGTTTTTTTGCCTCTTTCAAGTATCTGTAGTATTTTCCTTGTAAACCAGAGACATCATAAATGAGATTTTTCTGTGGAGAGGACTTACCATATTTGTCCCTGGCTCCCTTCTGCTTTGTTCAGAGTTTTCCTTTTTTTTTTTTTGTTGTTTGAATTTGCGTCAATTTATTAATTAATTACCTGTTTACCAGTGGACTAACGCTGGTTGTTCTTTGACTTTTAATTGGACAGGTTGTGAATGCAAATGTGTCACTAAAGCGCCTGGAGGAGCTTTTCTTAGCTGAGGAGAGAGTTCTTCTACCAAACCCTCCCCTCAATCCTCAACAACCAGCCATTGAAATTAAAAATGGTTATTTTTCGTGGGATTCAAAGGTCTAGTTCCAAATCTTGACATTCCTTTGCTGGCAGTATATTTTTTGTTTATGCATTATGTGCTAACATGTACATTTGAGCTATTCCATGTTTTAGTTTTGCTTCTAGAGAAGCAAAGGTGAATTGGTTCTAGACTGCTGATTCCTCCACATCTCCCCCCCCCCCCCCCAAAAAAAAAGGAGTAACAGTGAGTGGAAGTAGGTTTTGTTAGTTGATCAATTTGATGTATAAAATAGCTTTTGTCATTTGATCAATGCTAATTAAATCAAATGCATTATATCTTTCAAATTGTACCAGAGTATAGAGCAGATCCTAAGCATAATGGTGGCTGTTGTTTTGAGTCCTTTTTTTTGTTTTTTTGGGATCTGGAAAAGCAGTTTGATTACATTAAGACTTTTTTTCTAATATTTTTTATCTTTTCAGTTCCTGAATGACATTATAAACTGATTAAGCTTACTGTTTTACATTTTTACCTTGGAAAAAAATTTTCTTTTGTTTGCAGGCAGAGAGGCCTACATTGTCTGATGTCAATTTGGATATACCAGTTGGTGGCCTCATTGCTGTAGTTGGTAGTACAGGAGAAGGAAAGACATCGCTTATCTCAGCAATGCTTGGGGAACTTCCCTCTATATCTAATGCAAGCGTTATTATTAGAGGAACTGTTGCTTATGTTCCACAAGTTTCATGGATTTTCAATGCAACTGTAAGTTTTGGCTTGCTTGTATATTGTATTTATTTGTGGTCCTTCATGCTTTTGCATGTTCTGCCATGTTACCTTAGTTGGTGAGAGGCAACTAAAATGTGGCAAATAAATAGTAATGATTATGAGGCATTCTTTTTATTGAGAAGCAATTGAAGAATATAGCATTTCCATAGTCATCTATGTTCAGTTTTGTACTGATGACATCCCATTTTTAGAAGTTTGGTGGCTATTACATGAGTTAGTGACCTTCAGAATCTATTCTTACAGGTACGTGACAACATTTTATTTGGATCTCCCTTTGATTTGGGAAGATATGAGAAGGCAATAGATGTGACTGCACTGCAACATGATCTTGACTTATTGCCTGTAAGTACTGCACCATGTTATTATGTGATGTGATGGCAGATGTCCCAAATGATTTAAAATTTCTGCTAAATATACCGTTTTACATGCTTTCTTGATAGGGTGGTGATCTTACAGAGATCGGTGAAAGGGGAGTGAATATCAGTGGTGGGCAGAAGCAAAGGGTTTCTATGGCTAGGGCTGTTTATTCCAATTCAGATGTATACATTTTTGACGACCCCTTGAGTGCCCTGGATGCACATGTGGGGAGACTGGTAATTAGTTAACAATTCAAAATAACTTGTTGCTGTCACTTTTGCTATTTGCTATTGACATCCATCTGCCTAAATAATGATTACAAAATCATGCATATTTAGAATCCCAAGGTCTTATTTCAATAACAGAAGGAGTATTTCTTAACAAATGTTTATAAAATTATTGACTTCACCTCCATCTTTGCTTGTCTATATAATTTTTAAAACTTCGTTTTTGATATTTTACTTCCCTCTTTTTCTTTTCCTTTTAGTTCTTTTCTGATGCTTCCCATTTCCTGAATGCTATTATCATTGTGAAAGTTGATTATGTTATTTGCTTCTTGTTTTCACTTAGCTTTGATCTGATGTGTACTATATAATCATGTTCAGGTTTTTGATAAATGCATCAAGGGAGAACTGAGAGGGAAAACAAGAGTTCTTGTCACTAACCAGCTGCACTTTCTTTCACAAGTTGATAGGATTTTACTGGTTCATGATGGAATGGTGAAAGAGGAGGGAACTTTTGAGGAACTTTCTAACAATGGCATACTGTTCCAAAAGCTCATGGAAAATGCTGGGAAAATGGAAGAGTATGAGGAAGAAAAGGAAGAAGGTGATGCAGCTGATAATAAAGCCTCTAAACCACTTGCTAATGGGGTAGGGAATGATTTGCCAAAAGATGCAAGCAGTGCCAATAAAACTAAGGGAGGGAAATCTGTTCTCATTAAGCAAGAGGAACGGGAAACAGGAGTTGTCAGTTGGAAAGTTCTAACGAGGTAAAGAATTCAAAATTTTATTCATGTTCTTCAAATTGCACTCACACACACTCAAAAATATTTTTATATTGAATGTCCTGATGTCCTTCATTCCCAATATTTCATCGTAATTGCTTCTGCCCTATCATTGAAACACCTGCATGTTATAACTAACATGAATTATCCCATGAGCCAGATCAGATTCTCCTATTACCTATAGAAAATTGGATTGATCTTCTCATTATATGATGGCGCTATTATTTGAACAGGTCTGATGTTGAAATAAAAAAGAAGACCTTTATTTTTCCTTAATCAATTTGCATTGACCTTTAAGCAACCGTTAAGAAACAACATGCACAGTTATTTTGAAGTTATAGTTCCTTTCAAGTAACTATTTGTTTTATTTTCTCTTCAGCCAGTCTATCTTGCCAAGAAATGACTGAAAATTGTTTTGAATACCTCTCAGCAGTGAGTATTAGCTGAGCATTTTCTATGATCAGTTATTACTTCATGTGGACATATGTTTGTCCTTATGCGAGCATGAGAAGCAGTATTGAAGATTCTTTACTTGTTATATGCTAAAGTTATTCTCTAATGGATGTAGTAATTCTATCTTTCCAGGTATAAAAATGCACTTGGTGGTTTTTGGGTGGTGATGGGGCTTTTTGCATGCTATGTCTCAACTGAAGTTTTACGAGTTTCAAGTAGCACATGGTTGAGTTCCTGGACAGATCAAAGCTCTCCAAAGACACATGGGCCTGGTTACTACAACTTGATCTATTCGCTTCTCTCATTTGGTCAAGTATGAGTTTGTTAAATAGATATATACCAGTTTTCATATCCATAGTTTCCTTTTTTAGATAGATAGGGTGCCTATCTTTCCTAGTGTTCCCAGAGGCCAGAAATTATATCATCTATTTATGCCAAATGCCTAATCCCACCCCAAAATTTTTATTTGATATGCATTTGATCTTCCAACTTTTATCATGTGCAATGTAGGCCACAACTCTTAGAACTGATTCATTGTAGCCCAAATTCTAATAGTGCACTACAACTGTAAAACCCATTGGCATGACTTTTATCTTGGGGAAGAAATTCCAATGTGTTTGCTTGAAAACCAAATGATTTTCCTGTCTTCATCCAATCTTCCATTTCTTCCTTTTCCTCCCTCACCTATAAATCCACACCCAAGTGTAGCAACTACCTCCACAAATCAATTGGGTAATTTCTCCATCAACAAACTGAAATAAAATGGACAAATCTACCTTACCCAAATGCAAACTAACGTGATACGAATTCTACCAGAACAAACAATTGTTTGTATTTGATTTTAATGAGAAGTACTGATTGTTTAAATTTGTAGCTTAGGATGCATGCATGTATGAATTTATTATTTTATTTTATTTTATTTGTCATCCTCTCCTGTAATTTCAGGTTATAGTGACATTAGTAAATTCATATTGGTTGATCATATCAAGTCTCTATGCTGCGAGAAGATTGCATGATGCCATACTTACTTCCATACTTAGAGCTCCAATGGTCTTTTTCCACACCAACCCACTTGGACGTATTATTAATAGGTTTGCGAAGGATCTAGGTGACATTGATCGGAATGTTGCTCCTTTTGTCAATATGTTTCTTGGACAAGTGTCGCAGCTTCTTTCTACTTTTGTCTTGATAGGAATTGTGAGCACTATGTCCTTGTGGGCCATAATGCCACTTTTGGCGCTGTTTTATGCAGCCTATTTATATTATCAGGTAAATACTTCTTATAGAATTGCTCTTGAGATGCTTGTTTATTACCTTGGTTATTGGTATTGTCGTTATTATTATAATCCATAACTAGATATTGCAAGGTGTAATGTTTTTCTAGATGTACAGTGAAATCTTTCTTACATTAGCATTATTTTGTTTCCATAGAGCACAGCCCGTGAAGTAAAGCGCTTAGATTCCATAACGAGATCACCTGTATATGCACAATTTGGAGAGGCACTGAATGGCTTGTCAACTATCCGTGCATATA